ATCATAACTTCAGGCAGACCCTTCTTCTTCAAAGCTTCACGGGCAGCCTTGATGCTGTCCTTGTCGTAGTTGGTGCCCTTGGATCCACCACGCAGAATAACGAAGCAGTGCTCGTTACCCGCGGTTCTGGTAATGGCAGCCAGACCCTGCTTGGTAACACCCATGAAGTGATGTTTTGCTGCCGCAGCACCGATAGCATCAACAGCCACTGTCAAGCCTCCGTCGGTGCCGTTCTTGAAGCCAATGGGGAAAGAGAGACCAGACGCCAGTTCACGATGGAGCTGGGATTCTGTCGTCCGGGCACCAATGGCGCCAAGGGAGATGAGGTCTGCAAGGAACTGTGGAGAGATGGTGTCGAGCATCTCTGAGGCGATAGGCATGCCAGCAGATGTGAGGTCAACAAAGAGCTTGCGAGATACCCTAAGGCCCTTGTTGATTTGGTACGTCTCGTCAATGTCTGGGTCATTGATCAGACCCTTCCAGCCGACTGTTGTTCGTGGCTTCTCAAGGTAAGCGCGCATGATGATGCAGAGGTTGTCTTGAAGCTTGTCGGCCAAAGCCTTGAGACGCTGGCAGTACTCGACGGCCAATTCTGGGTCGTGGAGCGAGCAGGGCCCAACCATGACAAGTAGTCGGTCATCCTTTTGTGTGATGATGCTGGCAGCATCTTTGCGTCCTTGGAGGACCGTCTTTTGGGCGTGGGCGGGGATGGGAAGCTCTTGGGCGAGGAGTTGGGGAGGGATGAGTGGGTCATAACCAAGTACTGTGCAGCAATGTCAGTGCATTTGTTTCGCGGACTGTGTCGTAAATTGGGTGTTTTACCGCGCACATCGTCGTTGGTGGTCTGGTCGTGGGAGGCCATGTTTGTGGGATGAGCCTGTGTATGTGGGGGCGGCGAAAGTGGTGTACACTTTTCAATGTTAGCATGTATTTTGAGACGTCAAAGAAAAATGGTTGTTGCGTTGTTTCCACGTACAAAACAGCTAGATGACTGGCAATTGAAGGATGGGCGGGGTGTAACCTTTCAAGGAGACGCAGAGGCGGGGCTGTTTATATGGTTCTCTAGCAAGAAATAGCGTGAATAGGTAGAGTCAATTGATTCAGCTCGAGGCGCCAAAGTAAGCAGTAGATGCAAGACCAAGTGCTGGTGGGGTTTTCAGGTGAGAAGATATGTGAAGGCGCGTATCAAGCTGAAGGCGCGTTGGCCGTACAGTCAGACATAGATTTGCTACTAAATTATTTTGAAGTGGAGTGAGACTTTTTTTGGCAGGGTGGGGGGCTTGAATGGTCCGTTCTGGCTGCCATTTAGAGTTCCGTTATCGATACACCGCCCTGCATGCTCGCTAATAAGCTCGGGTCTGACAGTTGGCAATGCCTGTCTTCCTGTTGGCTGCTGTGACGACAATCTTCGACGTATAGAGTACATACTTGTGTATATGTGCACATGTATGCATATTTGTATTGTATGAAATATATTCACGTACACACATACACTACACATAGTGTATATATATATATATATATATATATGAATACATATACAGGTACATATATAAAGGGAGAGAAGTGTACGCAGTAAGTACAGAGTATCCTGTAATCCTCCACAAAGACTCTGAGAAGCCGCACTCGTCCCGTCCCGTCTACGCCAATCCCAAGCCGCCTCAGGCCAGCAGCCAACACCCACACCCACACCGACCACTCCTCTCTACACGATCCTGCGACAGCTGCTGGCGTCTGTTCAGCTGCCTTGTAGAAACACAAGAATGCGCCACCTGCGGCTCGCGGCGATGAACAAAACCACCATCACCTCAGCTCTCCTTTCCCATGCATATACTACCGTGTACAATACGATCCACGTGATGAGGCGGTGCCCAGCGGCCAGCTGCATGTCGGCCTCACTCTGCAAGCCAGGGTCACGACTCCTCCACGCTACGCCACACCATCCTTTGCAGAATTGCTGCCTCGCCTAGGAGCCCGCCAATGCAGGCAACGGGCCCTCGACTTCCCGACGACCAAACAGGACTCTCCCCCACCCGAGCGCCAGGCCATGAGAGGCGCGCGACTCCACAACACAAACCAGGGTTCTTTTCATGCGACCTGAAACACCGCGACGGCCCCTGATAGCCGTATCAGCCCCTCGCCTGCTTGCTTCAAAACATATTTTCAGGCGCTTCAGCTGCCACCCCGGATCCTCATTTACATACCCCTCCATCGCCTTGTCCGCTGCCCAAGTCTGCTCGTTCCCCCACTTCTATATCCTGCTGGGCGCGTCAGCACCACCAAATAATTATCCAACAACGCCTGTTTGCACGACCTGCCATGTCCATGTTTCAGACTACTTACCGGAAGCGCGATCGGGACGTTGACGAGGATTCTGACTGTGACGAGGACAGGTATACCAAGGTACGTCAGCCTACTATACATTCGACTCTTGACTTTGGCTAACCGGTAGGGCCCAGAAATCACGGCCAGCCTTCGCAAATCACACAAGCAATAACCAATTTCATTTCCAATCACAATCAACTCTACCCCACCGACCCTTTCAGACACCCTCTCCACCTAGGCTGTTTACGGACATCCGTTCCATGACACCGGTACAATCAGATCATGGAATACTGGATTCACCGGATTCGATTCAAGATGGCTTTTTCTGCATATCAAGAGAGTCGAGTAAAATGGACTACGACATGGACATGGACGACGACGCAGATGCACGGAGCCAGCCGCCAGAGTCGCCTGCATTCAGTTCCTTTGGCAGCACCTTTATGCGACCGCCCATGCTCCAACCCTCATTGTTCAACTCAGATTCAGCAACCAGCAATGGTCGGATACCAACGCCCATACACCCTTGTTTTAGGAGGGGAGGAATGAACGGTGTAGGTTATCCGATAAGCGGCTCAGCGGGCGGGTTGGATATCGATAGCATTCATGTACCGCCTATGCAGGCCCCGCCCCCAGCATGGAAAGGACCCAAACAAGGTTTAGATGAAGACCGAAGTAGGCGCATGCCTTCGCCCATATCCGAAGACGACGATATTCCCGACACACCCACCGCTCAAACCCAGTCGCAATTGTCACGGCTCTGTGTCTCGCCAGCAAGCACGACTGATGCCATGGACACGGAGACACGCCCGACGACTGCTTCACCCAACACACCTCGCGGCAGGAAGCGAAGTGGTGCTCTAACGGGCATGGGCCGTTTCAGCATGGGCTATCGGGACGATTGCGAAAAATGCCGACAAAGAGTCCCGGGACACTATTCGCATTTCCTCACCTAAGGTCTTTGTTTTCTTACTCTTATTTTTCTTTACCGACTCCTCTGCATACGTCATTTAACAATACCTCTCTCTCTCTCCTTGATTTGTTTCCAGCCACGTGGCTGGAGCTGGAGATCATCTGCATCGGTCATGCTCTGTTTGGCGCATTTGGCGCTCGGTGGTATTGTGGGGTTCTTATACTTTGCATGGCGCATCATGTACACGGGTTGAACAGCCTATTTACTACGTTCATGTAAGTACATGTACGTACATGCGTAAGTACGTACGCTTCACCGACGAGCTTGGCGTCGGTGCGTTTCCACTTCTTTTCTCTCTCTCCCTCTCGACCAGGGTGTTTTAAACAAGCGCGATATCCCAGAGGTTCCTTCAAAGGAAAGAGCAACATCCTGGTACTATAGATTCTGGGGGTGTGGAGAAGTCAATACCGCGCAGGGCGCGTGTCTACATACGTATGTACGTACCTAGTACCTTGTACCTGGTTATCGTACGTATTTACCGGCGGACGGATGACCGGATGTAACGGACGGACAAACACACCAAAAGCGCCGTATCATGACGTAGCAATCAATAATCTTTAAAGTACCCATTCCACCTCTGCTGATTATTCTCTCCCAAAGACAGTCAAGTAAATATTGTAATGTATCTAATCTATCCCTACGTATAAAAAAAATGGATAGCAAAATTTGATTCGATGTTGGAAAATGACCTACACAACATGCATGCATGCACATGGCAAGGAAACAAAAATACCTCGGTGATTTTAACCAATCCCTCCCTCTCTCTTAGTGTAATTTTTTTCTTCTTCTCTTCTTCTAAAAATGTCCGATGCACGCATCTTATCGGAGTGGGGGGGGGGGGAGTAGGGGGTTGGCGCGATAACGATTGAAACAAAATGTGATACATGTATGACGTTTGGACTTGGTAGTAGTCCGCTTGTCGCGGCCAAGGAGTAAGTTAGTAAGAAAGTACACCGGACAGAAAAGAAAAAAAAGGAAATAACAGCCATTTTCCATCTCGATCATTTCATTTTTTTTTCGAGCTTGCAAGACTACGAAACGGTTTCACGTGTTGCTCTTTCTTTGCTTGGGTATTCTTGTTTTGGAATATGCATTTTTGGGGGGGTTAATAATAGATTTTTTTTTTGCTCTAGCGAAAAAGTCGAGGTAGATGACGGTTCTTTGACAAGCAAATGAACAAATAAAAAAGACTTGGCATTTTAAATCCAAGTACTGTAGAGACCATAGACATAGAGAATTCAATTGGTTTTGATTAATCTATCTAAAGTAATGACACACTGGTAAAATGGTATATGCCAGAAAAGAGAGAGAAAAAAGGTTCCCATTTCCCACAACCCTATTGAACAACACAAACTCCCAAGTTTAAACAGCCCAAGCTGGAAAAAAAAGAGTAACAAACTCCTCGTACACCGATCCCGATGCACCAAAAAATGCTAAAGTCCCCTTGTTTAACCGAGTAATGCAATAGTAATGCACCGATGCGAGAAGAACAGGAAGAAAGAAGACAAGACAAGACAAGATGAGAGAAGAAGAACGCCTCCCAATGAGCTTTGCCTTTGCCACGACCCAGATGAACAAGATGCATGCGCCGCCCATTGCTCCCTCATCACCAAATTTCAAATTCGTATTCTCATGTCCAGGTCATAATGGTGGGTGAACAATCGTATTGCCCGTCATACCAGGCCACGATTGGTGGTGTCGCGCTCTACGCAGACTTGGGATGTTGCTCCACAAGCCACTCCATGACGCTCTCATAGCAGAGCACAAACTGTCGCAAACTCTGCACCATGCTGAGGCGCTGCAGACGGAAATCTTCAACCGTCTTGGCAATCAGGTCAATGTCTTCGTTGTTGACCCATTCGTCGTCTTTTACTTCCTTTTCGGATGTTTTGTTGTTGGAGTTGTTATTGGTCTGCTTCGCATGGCGAGCTTGTCGTTGCCGCTTAAGCATGTCCAGGACCGAGTCTACGGTGCAGAATGTGCCGGTACGCCCACACCCGGCAGAGCAGTGTACAAGAATAGGGCGTGTGTTAGGCGGGTCGGGCTGTGAAGGTGAGCCTCCGTTGACGGAGCGCACGACAGCATCTGTTTGCTCAACCAAACCCAAAAGATGGGCGGGATGGGCTGGCGCGCCAAAATCGGGCCAGTGAGAATATTGGAGCTGAGTAATCTCACGCATGCGCGCAAATGGCTCGTCATCGTTTGAGAGAGTGAATTTGCGGACAGTGACGTACGGCTGCTCCTGACTAGTGGGTGCGGCGGTTGCTTCCGCAGTGAAGTTGGCAAGCCTGGGCGGGTTGGTTGACCGGCGCTGGCCGATTGGTGGTCTGGACTGTTCCCTGTGACGGTGGATCTTGGATGGCTCTAGAGATGCCTTGCGTTCGCCAAGGCTTTTGAGATGCAACGGCCCGTATTGCTTCTCTGACCAGTAATTATGGGCCTTTACCTGGCCGCCTTCTTGCTCGGCGGTAAGCATGACAATGACGCGAACGTCTTGCTGCCACACCACGTTCCAAAAGTCCTGAACAAACAATTAGTCAACTCTCTGATAGCATGCACCCGTGTCAGCAAACCACTTACTTTGAAGGTAGCCGGAATGGGACCCTGCGTTGCAATATAACGCTTGTTGGAATATGCGGCTTGGACGTGGTTGGCATTGATATAATCACAGCTTCCCTCGGCGACACCCTCAAGCTTGACACGCGTGTGCTCATATGGCCAGATGTTGTTATAGCGGTTCTTCGATCCCTTTTCAATCCCTGCGATTTGTATGTGTTCAGATGGACTATTGCCCGATGAGGGCGCATTGTAGACGACTTGGCCAGACAGGGCCTTTTGCATGCGCTTCTGTTCGCGCTTTTCAATCTGCAGAAAACGCTCGGCAACGGTTTTGCCCTTGTCTTGGGGTTTTGAGGCTGCTTGCAGCCACTTGGGGAGGTCTTCTTGAACTGACTGGGTCATGCCTGTAGGCAGCTTCACAGGCATTTGGCCGACACCGCCGATCAAATCCATATTTTGCCGAATATTGCCAAAGAAAGGATTTGCCGCATTCTGTGTTGCAGGCATGGGGCAGCCGCCAATAACAGGTGCGACAGCCGGCAGATCAGAGTTGAGGCTGAGAGCAGCTGTTCCAGACGTTGGACTTCCCGAGCCCTGAGACGTGATCCAAGACGGGAATCTTGCCGAGAATTCCTGGAATCCCCCACGAATGATGAACGTACCACCGGACCATCCCTCCGTGGTGAACTTTTTGAGAGTATTGACGCACGCCGTTGCATCCTTGAGCTGCGAGGAATTGGCGTCGTAAACAATGATGTGCTTACAGCTTCTCCAACGTTCGAAACGCTCCTTTTGGTCGTCTTGTTTGAATGTTTCGGCAAGTTTTTGGACATTGAAAGACGCGCGCTTGAGCAAGGTCGTGGGAATACATAAACTCAGGGCGCCCGTGATGCGAGATTTTGCGTATTGCGTCGAAACACGGAGATCGAGGAGAAGGACTTCTTCGACTGAAGATTGCAATATGTTGACAACGTGCTGGGGGGACGTCATGGTAGGTCCATCGGTGCCAGATCCTTCCTCAAAAGTTGCAGGCAGTGTCTCGGAGCGGCTCGACTTTGAAAGGTGTGAGATGTATGATTGATTGTAGGGCAATGATGGCCGTGGCATGCGCGGTTCAGCAAACTGTGCTACAGCATCTGAGCGCCCAGGACCGTCGAAACTAGCGGGCGAATTTCGTCGTGGTCGGTCAGGGAACAGAGAGGACTCTTCGGACAGCATGCGCTTGGGGGAGCGTGGCTTGGGGGATAAATCTTGGTCGTCGCTTGTATCACTCTTGTTGTCGGTTCGCTCGAGCGGAGGCATTGATTGTGAAGACGATAGCTGTGAGGAGTCGAAGTTGGCGAAGAAGGAGTTCTTCGATGCAGCTTTCAGGCCGGGCGATGCAAAGTCAAAGCTGCCAAGTGCAAACGCGCGGTTGTTTTCCGACTGCTTCTTAAACTGTTCGAATTCCGGGTTCTGTTCGACAGGTATGATCCTTGGAGAGGCAGCGGCTGTAGAGCGTACATTGGAATTAGGTGGACTCCAGTTTCCGCGAATGTGCTGTGCAGCGCTTGAGGAGAAGTGGTCGGTATTGCTGACGGCAAGGCCAAAGTAATTTGGTGAAGGGGTGGATGGCTCCTTTGGCTTATGTGAGGCGACATGGCTGGGCGTCTTTGCGATGCCATTCATGCGAGGAGTTAGCGGCGGCAGTGTGTTGGATGAATGCATTGGGTTTGTTGGCCTGGTCATTGGTGTCGATCCCGAACCGCGGGGGCGAGAAGATGTATGTGAGTGTGAGGGACCGCGCGGGCGTGGCGACAGGACAGGTGTGGACATGGCGTGCGACCGTGCGCACGCGTCAGAACGAGGCGGGAACGTGGTAGGGAAAAGAAACGAAGCAACTTCAGGGCGGGGAGGAGGAAAGAAGGGGCATGAAATTAGGGGAGGTGGTTAGGGCCAAGCAGCAGGTAGTAGTCGAAATGGGCGTGTTGAGCGGCAGTGTGTGGTTGAAGGGGTAGGTGTGGGTAGGGTGGGGATTGCCGTTATGACGTAGGCAAGGGGGGGCCAAGTGAGGCAAAGTGATTTGGCAGCACGCGCGCGCGCACACAGACAGGCACACAGACACGGTCGGGAGGGGCAGGCACAGGCCTCTCTACTCGGAGAACGGTTTGTGGTGCAACCGTTACAAGAAGGGCCTTTTTTTCTGGAGCAGTGCAGGCGGGTGGTGGTTGACAGCGGGCCAGGGACGACGGGGTTGGAGGTGACGCAGCGGCGATTGGCGTCAAGGCACAAAAAGTTGGCGGGCGCTGGGCGTGAGCCGAATGCAGGGACCTGTATCGAGAACGCTGGAGGGTCGTGGTTGAGCGAGGCGAGCGTGGTCCCGTGACTGGCGGAGGATAGGGCTGAGGGGCAGGCGGTAGTCGAAAAACAAAAAAGGCCGAGCAGGGCGGAAAAAAGGCCGGCGGAGCGTGGCAGTGGCAGGACGCTGGGCAGAGGGCGGAAAGATGGGAGGAAATGCAGAGCAGAGGGAAATACAGATGTATCGGCGATCGAGCATCTTATGGGGCATCGAGGAAAAGAGCCAGTTTCCAAGGCAGAGCGAGGGGGCTAGCTCGCCTGCGCTGGGCCCGACCATCGCAAGCTAAAACCGCCCTGTCGCCCCTGTCCATTGCGACATTGGACATTCTAGCGCCGACAGCCATGCCAACGGCTGCGAGACGCTCCTTGCACCCGCTCGACGCCTCCGCGCATCACGCCGGCCGTGCGTGCGTGTGTGGGTGGTGCGTGGGTGAGGGAGAGAGGACGAGCGAAGGCGTATGTGTGTGCGCAAGTAGCATGTGCGCGTGTGCGTGTGCAGTGACAACGACGAGACGACGACGACTCTGGGGGGCAGGTGACCCGGCGACGACAGCAAGAGTACCAATCTCAATCTTGTCGAGCAGGCAGAGCACAGGCGGCAGTAAGTGATGATGATGATGACAGCTACAAGCGGACGGCACCCGTATCCGACAGAGGCTTTGGGAGTTGGTGATCGGCCACTGGAGCAGCGTTTGGGTGCAGGCGTGCAGAGAGGTGGGAGTGCTAGAGCATGTCGAAAAGGGTAGGTGGGGAGAGGGAGGCTCGCGGAAGGAGCATCATGGTTCGCCGGAAACAGTGATTGTCGCGGCCCAGACCTCGAGTATTTGCCTCGTCCGCCCATCTCTCCCTCTCTCTGCCTCGCCTGTCCGCCGCCAGACCGCCAGACCGCCAGTTCGTCACGCAGGGAACGTCACCCGCCAATCCAAAATGCCCCTCCTCGTCCCCTCGTCCCCTCCCCCACCTATCCCTGCCGCCACCACTGCTGCTCTCTTCGGCCCGCTCTCATCTGCTGCACATCCTCGCCCTGTCCTGCTCTGCCCTGCTCTGCCCTGCCCTGCCCTGCCCTGCCCTGCCCTGCCCTGCCTGCCCCCCTAGCACCCAAGCACCCAGGCCGGCCTGCACCTCGACAGTGCATACATACTTAGTACACACAAGTACGTACACATACTTACATGTATCTGCCTGCATGGCCCTTCTCCAGCCCCAACTGCCCGGCTCCTGTGCGTAGCCCGCTTGCGACGGTAGGGCAGGAAACAAAATAAAAAAGTCCGAGAAAATACCAAGCAGTGACGACATGATAAAAACCAACATCCAAGCCCGCCCTGACCTGCACCCGGGTGGAGTCTGAGAGATATTGCCAGTCACGACGACGACGCCCACTCGCACTGTGCCACCGACTCCAAATGCGCGTGACTTGCTCAACACCTCTCTGCCCTGCCTTCCCTGCCTTGCCTTGACACTCTGTCGCCGCCGCCGCAGCAGCACCACCACCACCACCCTGGTGCCTTGTTTTGCGTCAGGACAGCGGCTATCGGCTGGACTAGTAAAGGCAGAGCCCAGCCCACCTCCACCACCTCTCCGTCTCTGCGCTGTGCCTGCGCCTGTGCCTGTGCCACCCTCCTCAAACATAGCCTCTGCACCATGCAAGCTGAGCAAGCGCCACACACTATGCACCCATGACATTCCACATCTAACTAGCACTATACTCTACATACATAGCCTGTCCATGCTATTCTTCATTGCCATGCTTCATTGCCATCGGGAAAAAAGACGCAAATCATGCCGAATGCAAAATGCGCCTTCGCTCCTTCCCCCACAGACAACAAAGGAAAGAGCAAAAACAAATAAAAAACAAGACGCTGTACTCCTTCCCTCTCATGTATAATAAAACAAACAAAAAAACGCCAGGATATCATCATCATCATTTCCCCTTCCTGCCTCGACAGCACAACAAGTCACTCAACAGCAAAAGCATTCACCCGCTAGTCTCAACCGCTGCCCTGCCCTACCCTACCCTGCCTTCAAACACCCACCCACACCGCTACATCTCCATCCTATCGCTCGTCGCTTCTGTCGAGGTGCTTGTCCTGTGCTTTGTAGACTTGTCGTAACAAATGAGTCCAAAGAAGCCCTCGGAAGTACACAATGTGCTGGTCGCCGTAGGTGTTGGCGTCCAAGTGGACGTCTGCGTTGGCTTCAACTTGGACTTGAGCTTGTGCTTGTGGTGCGTCTTGGTAGGTGGATCGTCGCCATCGAGGCAATCGCCAAACCAGCCTGGATACTTGCACGATGAGGTTGAAGTCGGTGCAGACGAAGTCGTAGTCACAGAGGGTACGGGCGCGGCCGTCGTCGTGTACGTCATGGTCTTTGTCTTGGTCACCTCATCCTTGCATCCAAACCACCCTGGCGTCTTGCACGTTGTTGTCGTGACTGTTGTGGTAACCGTCGTCTTGCTATGTGGCTGCTTTGTCGTGGATTCATCCAGGCATCCCCACCACCCCGGCGTTTTGCACGTCTCGGTTCTTGTCCGTGTGGTTCGGCTTGACGTCGATGTTGCTGTAGGCTTCGAGCTCGTCGTTGTAGTCTCGGTGCCGTTGCTCTCAAAGTACTCCCACATGAAGCAATCGGTGCAGTCGACATAGGCCTCGCACTTTGGCGGCGTGTCATATTTGAGAATTACATCTCGAATCACCTCGACAATCTTGTGTGTGCCAATGCCTACGCGCCAACCAAAGTCTCTGACCGTGTCGTACACGCACTTGTGTCCGGTATGGCACACGCTCTGCAGGGCATATCCACCGATTGTGCACGCACTCGTGGCCGAGTTGCACGTGCCCATGTATATCGGGTCTGCCGTGTGTCCAAAGTGAAACCCTCCCGTGTACTTCCGCTGCTGCAGCGACCCAATTTGATGGCCCGGTGGTACTGGCAGGCCCAGGCGCGAGGCTGGCATGGCCTCTGGCACCGCCTCAAACGTCACGGCTGGATGCCCGAACGTCAGAGACAGGAACGAAGCCACGGCACCGCCCAGAGAATGGCCCGCCATCCAGATCTCCGCATGGGGATACAGTGCCGTAACATTGTGGTACAAGTCCTGCGCCGCATAGTAGTAGCGGTTCTTCTCCCGCAGGGCACTGACAAGGCATGTCGAGTTGCACGTATACGCAGACGTTTGGCAGTCGCACACTTGGCGCCACAGGTACTGCCCGCCTTGGCCGCAGCAGCAGCTAAAGAACAAATTATCGTTGATCTTGTCGTTGGTCGTCGTCTCAGAACCGTCAAACATGGCGGGCGAGGTGCCTTTGAGGCCAATGACCACAGTCGAGTTCTCCGTGTCGGCGAAGATGTGACCTCGCAGGCCATCCGACTCCCACCCAAAGTCTTCTGTGTAGTTGAAACCCCCGCCAACGTCTTCCCACTCCCCGGTGTTGGGCTCGAGTATGTAGGCGTTGGAGGCCATGCGCGCGAAGCTGAGGACCGTCTCTCTATCCGTTACATTCGGACCCGCAATCTCGTCCATGGTCCAGTCTTCCTCTGCAAGCTGCACAGCTCTTCCAGTCTTTCTGCCCCATTCAAGGATACCATCAATCGTCTCTTTGCTCCTATCTGCTAATCTCTGTATCGTCATGGCCTCGGACTTGATGCGCAGCCGTGGCACTGGCTCGCGGTCGGTCGAATGCGCATCGGCGGCCATCCATACTGCCGCCTGCTCAGGAACATCGAGCCGCCTGTGCAGGTCTGGGTACTTGTATGTGCCACGGTGGAAAACATGCCGCAGCGAGAACTCCTTGTCACCGCTGTGGGTACTGGAAGGGATAGGCGACGGCGGCAGGATGGGTACCTCAGCGGCGCTACTGATGCATGCGGCGAGGAACGAAAGCAGGAACGAGGCCGCGATGCGCGATGCCGAGGCACACAGCGGTCGTTGTCGCATGGCGTAGGCAGGCAGTCGTCAAGAATGTCGTGCACTGGTAAAGGGAAGCAGGAGGAGACGCGTAGCAGCTTCAGGCAAGGAGCGGCGCCATGTAGTAGATATGCATATGTACTACATACATAACAGACACGCCCATCTATGACGATCCGTGGTTCACTTGACCCCAGACGCGCTGGTTGCCGCCACCCGCAGCCACTTGCACGTGCGGAGCTCTCCTCCTGTGCGGGGCGCGGAGCTTCCATGGACCATCGATAACGAGCTCGATGCTGGGCTGGTAGCGCTACTAGTCCTAGTAGCATGTAGATGGCACATAGCTTCACACGCCAGCCCGTCAGCCAACACCAAGCACACTCGCTAGCCCGACACCCCACAGCCACTCAAGCCATTGCCCGTCATTTTGCATATCCAAGTCGTTGCGTTTGTATCAAGACCAAACCGCCGCTCGGTGCTCTCGGAAGTGCCGCCGCATGACGTGAGCGTATGTACTCGACACAGGTTTCAGCGTCTTTCCCTTCGATGCACGCACACGACACGCCTAGAGTACCCTGAGACATCCTATTAAACCACCGTCATCATGACCGACCGCCCCAGAAACCTCCATCCCTCGCGTTCTTTTACTCGGCTTGAGCCTGCCTCTAAAAGCCCGCTATCACGAAGCCGAGCGAGCACACTGCAAGGCCCACACGCGTCAGACATGCTCGATCCGCTCAAGGCTTCCGTACTGCCAGAGGAGGATGAGAACACAGAGGGTGATGTGTTTGCTGAAAAGGGCGAGGAGGATGAGGAGCATGGGGAAAAGCAAACGGCACCAGACACATTCGAGGAGCTGCCCATAGAGATTCGCAGCTTGACAGAGCGGTACTTGCCTACGCTCATGTATACCGCCCCAATGGCCTTCTGACGCACCTATAGATTTCTCGAATCTCTGACTGCAAAGATCCATCCCACCCCACTGTCCGCCGACGCCCTCGCAGACCTCTTCCAGGACTTCTACGGCCGCGCCTCCTCCAAAATCAACACACACATAGCAACCCTATCCGCTCGAATCACGAGTGAATCATTTGTCGCAGATTCGAAAAAAGGCATTGCTCCATCAAGCAGACCAGGTTCCATACGGAAAGGAAGCGATCAATCGGGGGAACAGCAGATGCTCAGTGCCTCTGAGATGGCTGATCGCAAAAAAGCTCGAAAGGCGCTAGAGGTCAAACGGCTGGCCCTTGAGGAGGCTGTCGAGCGAGCAGTTTGTGAGAAGGTATACGACAGGATATGGCGCCACAGGAGCACCGACGACGAGGAAAGAGACCAGAAGCTCAGATCGAGAACAGCAGCTCTCTCACTGGTGGGCATTGGTCTGCAAGAATTGCTCATGACTGGGGAAGAATTGACAGAGGAAGAGCGCCAGAAAGCAAAGGAGAAGGAGCCCGAGATACGAGAGTACCTGTCAGCGGCGCGGGAAGACTTGCTCAAGATGAACGACGAAAAGTATCCCCTTGGAAAAGTACAGCATCTTACTGCTACACACAAGTCGATTGTTGAAGCATTGTCTAAAATCTTCCCTGCCACATCATCTGCAGACGAAATTCTCCCTACCCTCATCTACGCACTCATTACTATGCCTCCTGTTCACTTGAACGTCATAAGCGATCTGAACTTTATTCACCGCTTCCGCGCATCGAGCCGCATGGATGGCGAAACTGCCTACTGCTTGGTCAACCTAGAGGCAGCCATCTCGTTTCTGGAGACTGTTGATCTTTCATCATTACGATCCGAAGAGGCCACTTCCGCAAAACTAGATTCAAGACCCGCAACACCAAAGTCAGAGATAACACCCATGCCGTTGGGTCTATCAGATGCCCCAGATCTCATCCAGACACCCGCCACTCCAACTGCCAAAGCCATACCCAGAGAGCCATCAAGCCCTACAACTACAAAAGCCCAACGTCGCTTGAGCAATCTCATCCAGACGCAGACCAACAAGATAGAAGCCGCCTCCGACGCGGTACGAGATTCAATCCTAGACTCGGCCGATCAGGCCCTTGGGAGAATCAATACTACGCTAGACACAAGCTTCAAGTTTTTCTTTGGTGGTCTCAGAGAGAAGAACCCCAACGGCCCTATGCAAGAACAGCCGGCACTGCCTAAGACGCTAGAAGACGCCAGG